ATGTATCGAGTCTACTCAAGAGAATTTGCTGGTCTCCTCTCTGAGGGCTTCCGTGTCAGAGGGCCCCAATTGTGAAATCTGAAGTTGACAGCTGTGACTAATGATAATTTGAATCGTTCTAAATCTCCAATCGACTGAGGTGTTAGATCAGTGTTTAGTCCAACTAGGACTTCAAATGTGACTTCTAGTTCCATTTGACTACATTTGCGACTCAGATAGCACAAGTTGGAACTGAGAGACAAAGCTTTGTTCATATTGCGGCTTAATTTAACATGGGAAAAGTTCTAAGCATACCTCTTTGTTCTGTTAGGAAACTAAGCTTGAGGTAAAAGGGGACTCAATGTCTGATTCAGGGACAGCATTCGCTCTTCGTAGAGGTGATCGGTTATCAGTTTAACGTAATCCATGAAAATACGTTTATCATCGTATTTCAGGTAATACACAGCTGATTGATAGTGAGAAACACATATTTGGATTACAAACGTTTCATTATCAATGGAGGAAACTTTCTCAATGCTATAGCTGAATGAGCAGATAAGTGTTCATTTTGACTGGTATTGAGTGACACGGAGTTATCTAAATTACTAAGTTTCTTGCGCCTCTATAATGAATACCAGCAGCCTGATAGTTTATTGTTTGTCAATCAGTAAAGTGTTACTATGGTGTTGTGTGGTTTCTTCCTCCTACTAGCACAATTCAACAATTTTTTTGTACGGCGTCACTCTATCCGTTTGTGTTTCTCGGTTCTTACCTTGATGGTGATTACGGGCATTAGAAATCATCAATTACAGCATCTGCAGTGACACTTGTGTCTGTTCTTACTTTTCTCACACACTCTATCCTATATTATTCAATTAAGTTAAAAATATTCCCTAATTCTTTCATGAAAGCTCCTCCATGTAGTTGGCTAAACGAGCTGGAGGAATGAAACAGTCAAATTGGAGCAAAGAAATGCTACTTTTGTTACCGTGTTGCTATAAAAGCTGAGCCAAATACACGTAAACGTGACAGACAGAAGGGAATTTTATAGGAAAATAAACTTCACTGCATTCCAAGATTCGGCGCTTTCTGAGAGTGTAGAGGTAAACAAAAATTTGAGATTTTCAATTGAAAACTCATTTATTTGGACGAATTATTCTTCAAACTTATGTTATTCACCTACCTGTTCATTCGGTAAACAATGCACCAAAAAAGTACTAGAGCTACTTTTTTCCTGAAAATGCTCGCCGATAGCAGCTATTAACGATTTTAACTCCGAATCTCTCATATATGCTAGCAATATACCAAATAGAATTGCCACCTCAAGTCTATTCAAATACAGCTCTCAGCGGCCGTCAGACAATTTCTCGGTCCAACACGTACGAAGTAAGACGCTACATGATACCTTTAACTATAATCAAAAGCTTTCCATCAAATCAAGTCTACCATACAGACTTGAGTACGCCTCACAGATTAAGCTTAATAAATTAGATAAATTAATTTGCATATTAACTAACATTAGTGTACAATAGTTGTTATTAATAAAGAAGTAACCTCAATTATTTATAATAATATTATTATCTTTAACACATGTGTCAGTTCCAACTGTGTCCTAAATAAATCATGCCAGCCCAATCTCTAAAGCAAAGAAATATGACCCTGAATTACTCGTGGGTGGAAGACAGCTGGATTGCTCATCCTAGAAGCGAACCTTTTAGTGAACTCAAAACGAGAGCGTTTGGCTAACCAAAACCTGATCCACTAGACGGTGGAACGGTGCATAGACACCGAAATCCCTTAAGGACTAGCGTTCAGTTAATCAGACCGCGCACCCTTTTGATGGGTTCAAATATCCAAGGTACTCAATACGCCTCAATGCACAACCAAGCTAGTGATCGCTGTCACAACCACAAATGTATCTGTGTGATTTGTACGCGACCTCTTGGTTGGTTTGGAATCAGGTATTTTGCCAACTCCCGATTGTTAGTCCACCCGGCTGTTAATGTTTTGCTTTCTTAATCTATTAGAGGAACACCACCTCGTAAAGACAGAAAAATGGTGGTTCCGCAGCAAATGCTATTTGAGACAGGAGGTCGTACAGAGGCCTTTCACAAGGTAATAGCAAAGGGCCATCATTCACAACCCCAAACATCCACTCCAGACTAATCTGAGACTTTCAATTACAACCAGCCCTTTAACGTTTTTTACATATAAGCTTCAGCTTATCTCATCAGCTTTGATCACGAGCTAGCAAAGCGGACTCATTACCGACATTACTCACACCTGTAACATGTAATAAATATTTATTATGATCGACCAAATAAAGATGTTGCATTTTTGAAATATTTGTCCTTTTTGGTTTCTATTGGATTGCAGATTTGATCCTCTCGTCTATCGATAATAGATCCCCCAGTTAGAAACTTTCCAAATGCTACTTCAATTTCTATTTGTCCTATCGCTGTTTTCAATTGAATCCCGGAGCAATTCCCTTCACATCGAAGGTATAGATGAGCACGGTCGAGTATTTGTACAGTCTGGCCAGAACCTGGCGCTCACATGTACACACACTGCTTTGTGGCGGGAAGGTTCCGTGCTGGAATGGTTTGTACCATCCATGCCAACGGAACCAGTCAAATCAAGTCAGAAAACAAGTGTTTACTGGCAGAACGAAGTCGGAAGACGGCGATATATTTTGATCGTACGCTCCGTCAGTTCTGATGATTCTGGAAAGTAAGCTGAGCTGATGATTAATTGTGTTCAACAAATGCATCATAAGTACGTACCCGATACCGTTTATTAGCCTGTCTTCCATTGTAACCACACGATATATGGTTCCGGGAAACCGCAATTCTGAAAATACTTTTGTAAGCTGTTTTGTAATTTTTTAACGTTTTTTTCGTTAAGCATGAATTTTACAAATTGTGTTTAGTTCACTTGTATATTTCTAAATTACCTCGGTATATGTCAGGAATATTGAGGTAAGCTAAAAATTACTGTTCTTTATTTGAGTAAGAATGCTCTGAGTTCCTAATGCTCAAAAATAATCAATTATCAGAATTTTTCGGAGTATATTCAGGATTCTCATTAAACTCTTCCTTGACATCTCGGGTAGGTTAGCATACAGAACCCGCGATAGGTGAAAATCCCCAGATCAGTGGCCTTATATAGGTTTCATTATTACTATTATCGTCATCACTATTATTATCATGAGACAGCAACGAAAATAGGCACACGAAAATACATGTTTGATGGTTGTGAGAACTGAACTAAACTAAAGCAATATTATTTATTACATATTTTTGGTTCTTTTAGCCCTCCCACACCCGTAATACAGCGAAAAATCGATCATGAAAAAGTAAATACATTTGCGAAAGAAACCGTGGTACAGTCGGACCGCGATAGATGGTGAAACTTTAAAATGTGAATCACAGAATTGCACATACAGCACTATTGGCAAAGGAATCGCATCGTGCATTGAGGTTGAAGGCAGCGTTTTATCAAAAGACTATTTCCGAAACTAGATAAGTCGCAAATACTGGGATCATTCAAATTGTTCGCTTTCAAACGGTTTGATCAAATATAAATTATATTTTCACTGTCGTTTATTTAATTCACAACATATGTTTAACTGACATGCGGGGGTTGGGCTGCATTGAAGACTTCAATCGATGGTCAAAAAGTCGGGGCGGCAGTGTTAAGTTTAGAACACACACGAGCTATGAGACAGAGGGGCAATAGTTCAAACCACTCCACTACCAGCTGACGTATCTTTCATGGCAAACTGAAGCGTTGCAATTTGGTTTACCGCTACGGATCCTGTCAGAACAATATCGTGTTCGCCGCGAACGAAAGCTGTCCGAATATCTGTGCTTATTGCGCTGATAATTGTCTTCGTTTGAGGTAATAGTGCAGAATTTATAAAACGAGACAACCATCTCAATTCAATCCGTCACTGCTGTGTAAAGTAAAGTATTTTATTGTTTGTCCAGCACAGTTTCATTCTCGGCGGTAAAGTGATCGTAATTTTATCAGGTATGCCATCTTTACATTGTAACTAATAATTTTGGGACACAACTGATCGTCTCTAAAATGTCTCGTCACAGTCTGTCTTGTAGTTAGCGTACATGTTTACGCTTTGATGCATACAACGGCAAGGGAGAGGATGCGTATTTGTGTACTGTAGCCGGGTTAGAGATAGCCCACAAAAGTGAATTTCCAGTTCCCTCTCCCACAATTATTGACTACATTGTACATTCCGAATTAAAAGTATTTCGGATAAGCCTATCACTTTTATATAGGTTTTATCTAATTTAATGCTTGATGACCTTGAATAATCTCCTTTAACTTGCACAATATTCCTCTCGCACAAGAGTTTAATCTTAAATGTGTGAGTTGCTTGGCTCATTCATTATTTATCATTCAGTGGGTGTAAAATAAAATCTGTCCTCACGAACTGAACTGTATCTCTCGCATGTACTGTTTTGTCCAAATGAACTACCGTGTCCTTCCGTTTGCAAAATTGCACCGATTTACACTCGTACACCGGTGTAAGAAAAGTGAAAACCCGCGTAATACTTTCCTAATCGTTTACATAATTCGATTCCATCAGTTATTATTTCTGGCAAACACCACTCACACTCGTTTATCACCCTCACCTAATGTATTATTGTATTACGATAGAGAACTATTCTAAATATAATGGTCCGTTAATCCTGGGTCAGAGGGAAATAAGTTCTGGTTTCACGTTTGGTTATCGGCCATTGTATTGCAAGTTATCATTCCCTTCATTTTTGTTCTGTTTACTTCCGTGTTTGGAGATGACCTCTCAGAGATAAACTAACTTGTTGGTGCCTGTTCGAATGACTTCATAATTAAATCGTAATAACTATTCCGAATTGTCCTCGATAAAATTTCCCCAACAGTGTCTGAAACATTCTTTCCTCCCTATTGTACTCAAAAACAATAAAGTTAGTCGTCAATTCCATATTTTTTTTCTATCGGTAAACAGATACACTTGCCGAATGGGGCGACAGGAGGGTGAACAGTTCGTGGATATGGGCCGGGTAGTTGCTGAAGTGATTGTCCAACGCAGTATTGTATTTACCGACTGTCCACAGGAACAGTGGATACCCATCAACAAGAATGCCTCACATCAAATGGACCGGGCTGGTACTGTGATCAGACCGCAGCCGTCTGTCACGATTCGCTGCGCTATCCAGGCCTTACCTCCACCTATCATCTTTTGGCGATTCAAAGGACAGCCAGTTGCAACCGGTTCGCACTACGTTACATCGAATATCGGTTTGACATTGTTTGATCCAACTGAACAAGACGCCGGAGTGTATACAGTGATCGCTAAACAGCCAACACAGACAGCTGTTTTTGACATTCGAGTTTCCGTATTCACGTGAGTATTATTTTATCGGTTTTTTAGGTGGGAGAGGAGATCTCGAATACTAGCGAATATTTGTTCCACTACATAGTTAGACCAAGATATAAGAATATTTTCGGGATCAAAATAGTTGAGAACCAAACACATAGGAGACGATCAACTTACAAGATAGATACCTTTTTCAGTTTGCATGTGCAATTTTAGGCGGAGAATGATTTTACTGTTCACAGTCCTATCGGTTTTGCAATGTATGCAATTAATTCAGATTGACAATCCTTCACACTTCATCTTCCTGCACAATCATCAAGTTGTTCGGTCAAACACGCATGCCAGAATTAAATGATTACGGTTTCAATCTTCTCAGAACTCATCCGTAGGTGACATACATCGGGATTGGAACTCCGGACCGATCACATGGGAGATGCATCGTTGAGTACAGCAACAGAAAAGTTATTTGTCACTAAATTACTATCATGAACTTGCCAAAAATGGGTAGAAAGGTTTCAAATTGAGATCAATTACGTTCAGCTTATAACAATTGCCAGCTATTAGGGCGTTCCATTTGTTTGCGGACTCCCAAAATAAGCTCAGTTTGCCTCTTCAAAGGCTTGCAGTGGGGTCTCCGAAGCTTTTGTAATTATTGCTTCGGTACTCATGTGGTTTACTAGTTCAAAGTCCCTAAACGGACTAACAAGCACTTTTATTTGGTTTCTTCAGGACTCGAAACCAAGCCTGTTTTCAGAATAATAAAGAGACTCATAGTAAGATCAATAATAAGTCAATCTGAAAGTCAAAAAGTATGCAAAGGTTCAGTTCCAAGGTATTCAATGTGTCATTCCATGCACTGCAATGAATACTGGATCAGCCCGTTTCTCCCAAGCGAAGTATATTATTTAATATTCATGTTTCTTCAGTGTATATAGATATATATTTTACACACATCTGAGGCCAGACTGTGTGCCAAACAAATCGTGGCAGGTGAATTTGCTTGGAGAATCCACAACTGGAGCCTTCGTCTGGCCAAAGGCTGACCCGCAAGACAGCGGGGTGGTGTGTAAACCGAAATCCATTGGGGGCTGGTGTCCGTTCATCGGATTGAACGGGGGTCAGTGGTGCTGTTAAATAACCGTTACTCTCATCCACTCTTTCTTTATTGAACTTTTAGCCTTACATTTTCGAATTGCAAACAACAAACCTCTTTTTCCTTCATTCCTATGCTTCTGCATTGCCAAATTGTGGTACTCAATCTCCGACTGCCTCTTAGTCAGCCTTGGATAACCTATGGTCCTGTCATTGTTGGACCATATGCAAATTCGATGGTATCCGGATGTGAGGCTTATTTACAGTGCCTTGCCGACGGTAACCCTCCACCCACCATCCACTGGTATCACCAACGCGATCCGCAAACCGAACTGCAGAATCTGGATCCACACAAATATTTTGTGAACACCAATTCACGGCTCGGGATGTTGCGAGTGGTTCGTGTACATTATCCGGAAGTAAGTTACCTGCATAAAGAGCTATTCTGTGTGAAAAGAACTGCGAACTCTGATTATTTGCATGGTGGTTCTGTTCAAAAGAAACCATCATTGTGTGAAATCCATAAATGTGTCAAGTTACAGCAATCTGTTTCCGGGATAGAATCTAACATAACAGCGTCACTCACGCTGGATGAAGTCTCGCGTACTGATCAAGGATCTTGGACATGATGTGCTATTCTGAAAACATTTAATATTAGAGTCAACAAGTATTTTGGGTGTGATCGTTGGTTGCATGCGATTCTAAGTTGTTACTTTTTCAGCGTAAAGATTCACATATGGAAACTACGGTGCCGGGGAAATCGTTTTGCAGGAAAAGATAAATTCAATGTCAGGAGTATTTTCCGATTCGTAGTGAGAATAAAAGAGCTTTATAGTTGGACACCCATCAAGATGATCTTCCCTTTGACCCTAGGACTCCGGAGTTTACTTTTGTCGAGCCCTTGCTTCGGTGCCACATATGTACGATGGTCGGAAGAATGCAGAAGCTGAAGCGAAATTGACAGTCAATGTGACACTGCGCCCGCATCTCATCCCACTGACAACGATGCATCAGTTTGTGGATGTTGGTACGTAACCGATTTGATATGGTTTGTATGAATTGCAAGGTCGCCAAAAGTGTTATCTATCTATCTATCAATCAATCAATCTATCTATCTATCAGTCAATCTATCTATCTATCAATCAATCTATCTATCTATCTATGTTTTATTTATTTACTTATTTATGTTTTATTCAGTATAATCTTTGTATGGTTCGGAAAACGTAGGTAAAGTTTGATTTATGATGCGCAAAGCATCCCTGATATCGACTTGTTACTTCGTACTTCGATCATGAGACCTCGCAGAAGGTCGTGTTCATTTCAGATGCTGGACCACGGTAAATTAGGACGATTGTTCGAGTAGCTTTTGAGACCAGAGTAGGTTCCAACCAAGCTTATACTACTCATCTCATCATTACATTGGGGTTCAATGCCTGTGTTTCGTCCAAGGAACCCCGGGTTTAACCCGTTGTGAGGCCAATGAACGCACGCATATACAGATCCAGTTACAAAACTGTCCTCGAGTGAGTGTTTAATGGTTGCTTGACTACCATTTATTTTATGTATGCCCCACTGGGAACTTAGGAAAATCCGTATGCAACATTCTTGTAATAACATCAAAGTGTCTCTAATATGAATGGGCAGCTGATTGAGTGCGAGCAAAAATTACGGTCAACAGCAGATCTGCTCCTGTTGTGTCACCGGTTTTATTCAAATGGAAGTATACTCCCCGCAATTTTTTCCTTGATTGCGCAGGTGTGCTCACCACAATGAATGATATTTGCTTCACTACTACTCGGAATAAAACAGAAAAGTATTTTTTATTCGCTTTCGTAGAAGTTGTTTGCTACGACATTGACACAATTGAAGAGATGTGCCCCGAAGGAAAACGGACAGGGTGCAGTACACTCAGCCCAAATACGAGTGTTTCGGTTTTGTGTGTGCATAGATGTTGTGATCCTTCTTTTCGGATCCACCTTTCACATCCGGGAAATGTATCGCGTTTATTCGATTGTGATTCTTGCCCATCCCATTTTTTTCACTGATCAGGGGACACAGTCATTGTGCAATGCAAGGTTCGAGCTACTGATCCGTTGGAACTATACTACGAAAAACTGTACAGTAATCAATCGTATAGAGTCGGCGTTCAACCAAGTGATAAACGTATTCGTGTGTGGACTGACTTAGACCCGGAGGACCCTTTAAATCACAACATATATCTTCGTATTGAGAACACAACGTGAGTGCACGATTAATCCAAATTTCAATCTGTTTTCATAATCTGGGAAATTAACTTCTCTCTGTGGGCAAAGTAAATTTAATTTAAAGGACTAAGATCATGGGCGATTGGTTCCGCTACGTCAAGGGCATCTTTTGCTACGTAGCCTAATTGACCCAAATTAAATGATGAACATTTTTGCCTTGAATTCTTTCATAGTCTGGCACTATGATTCGAATATAATGCGGTAACGTCTCATGNTTTCTTGCTTCCCCCCCCCCCCATCACCTGGGGCTTCCTCTCGACGCTCACCGTCGAGAGGAGATATAAGTATTCGTACTTATTGGGCAGCTACCGCTCGCCCAAGATGGATAGCCCCCAGCCAATAAGGTTCTGTCCCGTCCACGTTTCACTTGTCTCATTGGGTGCATGAAGCTAAGGGCCGATCCCGAAAAGTGGACGGACAATCAACGCACCAGCGAACAAGACAATTAATCGAAATTCAAAGGCCTTGCTTGACAGATCTCCAGAAGCTCCCACACAGGTGCTTCGTTCAGGCTCCCGCGTTGGATCTACGCCCCACTGCCTTGTGGGTCAAAGTTTTGAGTCAAAGGCTCCGGTTAGCGTTCCCAAAGAAAAACCCCTTCGTCGGTGTGGGCTACCACGAAGTATATCGTGTCCTAAAGTCTTAGGCACCCAATTGGAAAACCCTCCTTCCCATCTGTCTACTTCTTCCTCTCAATCCCGAATAACCCCAAACGCCTGCTGTTTACAAGACCCATCGGATATCATTCAGCGTTTTACCAACAAGTCCAAACATTCAGAAGTTACAGCGAAAATTCCCTTTTCACTTAGCCGCGTTCAATGTCCGCACACTTTCAGACCGATCAACAAGCTGCCTTAGCGAGAACCCTTGAAACGTTCAACTTTGATGTATGTTGTGTCTCCGAAACACGCATACAAGACCCAACTTCCCTTATCACCCTGCGTTCTCCTGATCCAACCTCAATCTCACGCTTCACCCTTCGAGTGTCAGGTGATTCGGCGTCCGAAGCTGTCAGTGTTGCTGGTGTTGGGATTGTGCTAAGTGCCAAGGCTGAACGCTCGCTTCTCGATCTGAACGCTCGCTTCTCGATTGGATTCCGGTCAGTAACCGACTGTGCGCCGTACGTCTCAACGGTTCAGCGCGGGTCAATAGCTACAGAACGAAGCATCGATGTGTATTCGTCGTGTCGGTATATGCACCGACGGATTGCAGTACACCTGAAATCAAGGATGAACTCTACGAGGATTTTTCTCGACTATTCCAATGCGTTCGATCAACGGATATCGTGGTAATCGCCGGAGACTTCAATGCTCAAATGGGATCCCCGGACGAATCAGAAAGGCTTCTTGGTGGACTACATGCAATCCCAGTCAACCGAATGGACAACGGCGATAGCCTACTTCAACTCTGTGCCGACTACGGAATGTTCCTGTCAAGCACAAACTTCTCGCACAAGAAACGACACCACCTTACATAGAAACCGTCAATCTCTTCACAGCGCTGAACCCAAATCGACCACATTGCTGTCAGTTACCGCTGGAGGGGATCGATTCAAGACTGCCGCTGTTACTGGTCAACACATAGGGATACGGACCACGCTTTGCTACGAGCTAAATTCTCCTTACGCCTGGCAATCAACAGTAATAAAGCCACCGAAAACGGATACCTACGATCCAACGTCAGAGATTGCTGCAAACCAGCCTTCGAAGCGGAATTCTCCTATCGCCTGCCAGTTCAACCACCAGCCAAAGGACTCAATGAACACTGGAGGAAAATCAAGGAGGCTATGCAAATATCAATAAAAACAACTTCAAACCCTCACGCAGGCTCAAAACATAAACGATGGATCTCATCGACCTCGGCTGGCCTGCTGGACGCCCACAGAGCCCTTCCTCCCAATGCCGCACATGACACAGAGCGCAAATCCCTCAACCGCCAGCTCATCAAAAGTCTGAGGAATGACCGCGAGAAGTGGTGGATAGGAAAGTGTAGGGAGATGGAGAAGGCTGCTGCTATTGGCAATAGTCGCAATCTTTTTCGTCTAATTAGGAATACGGGTCCTAGGAAAATAAGCGTAAGGTAACTAGGGAATCCGATGGCACACTGATTCACGATCAGCAACGCCGTCTTGATCGATGGGCTGAACATTTCAAGGCTCAGTTCAACTGGCCCCCATCGACATTTGAACTATCACCCTCCACCGCGACTGCGTAAATTCTGCCAGTCGATGCCAGTCCTCCACCTGAAATGGAGGTTTCCCGGGAAATAAGCTATCTCAAAAGGCACAAGGCCTCCGGCCCAGACGGGCTCTCTCCATCCGTTTTTAAGGATGGAGGTTTAGCATTGGTTTTGGAGTTAACGAAACTCATGGGCTCAGTGTGGGAGAGCAAACAGGTTCCAGCTGAATGGTGTGAATCGGTCATCATACCGATTTACAAGAAAGGTGACAGACCCTCTTTTGAAAACCACAGAGGAATTAGTTTAATCAACATTGCTTCTAAACTTCTTGCTGGTATCACTCCGTCGATTGTCTTCCGCAAGTGAAGAGTGCACGTGTGAGAACCAAGCTTGTTTCAAACCTGGTCGAGGTTGTATCTACCAAATCTTCACTCTGCGCCAAACTATGGAGCACCGACATTCGTTTCGTAGACCCATTATCTCTATCTTCCTGTATCTTAAAGCGGCTTTCGACTTAGTCGACCGCTCTAAACTCTGGCGCTGCCTTTCTCTGAAAGGTGTTCCCGAGAAGTTAATTTCAATATTACGATCCCTCTATACTCATAGCCGAAGCCCAGTCCGAGCTTACGACACGCTTTCGCCCGAGTTCACCACAGAAAGTGATGTTCGACAGGGTTGCCCTCTCTCTTATTCCATTTAACTTTGTTATAGATTTGATTACGGAAACAGCCCTATCCTCGTGCGAGGAAAGTGGCATCGATTTACTCCCAGGTGGCAGACTGTCTGATCTAGAGTATGCAGGCGACGTTGTGCTATTGAGTGAAGATCCAGGTAAGTTACAAGCTTTTCTGGAAAGTTTGAATGGTAGTGTAGCCATGTCCGGTATGCATTTTGCACCTTCAAAGCGTAAAATGCTACTTCATGACTGAGTTGGTCCAGCACCCAGCCTCACTGTAACTGGGGAAGTAATAGAGCAGATGGAGAAATTTTGTTATCTGGGCAGCTACATCTCACCCTGTGGACGCATCACGGATGAAGTGTCAGC